CCCGCAGCCCCCCCTAGAAAAAATAAAACCCTGTGAAAAAATAAGTTTAGCCCCCCCTACCATGGCTATGACCAACGACTTATCCCCCCCTACAATTTTTTTCTGGTTACGCCCCTACATGCTACGCCTTTTGCATTCTCTTTCATATTGTTATCTGTTTACTTCAATAAATATACTAGCTAACAAAAAAAATCAAAGTTTTCCTAATCCTTTTTATCTTGTTTGAATCGTGTGGATATTACATATTGCTCGTATCGACAAATTCGTTATTAAGAGAAATGTTCTATGTAATGAAGTTCTTGAACAATGGCAAATAACATTTCAATATTATTGTTGTAACTCATGATTAATGAACGATGGAATTAGTTTTTTTTGTTGGTGACTGTTTTTTAGTGTCATCTATTGAAAACTCTGCATGATCGTTTGTCCTGTAGTATTCTGATATATATGCAGCTGCGAGCTGCATCCAATGTTAATAATTTTTAAAATTTGCTCCATCATGCTTGAACTAGATGCGAGCTGCTTCACGGTTTGCACTGTCATTTTTACACAGCAATCAAATTATTTCTATATATACATATATATTGATCTTTATTTGCAACATTCCATATTCAAATTATCACGAAACGCTAATGTCAGCACCTGATTTTCCAGTTGTTTTTGTGACGCATGGAGCGTAAGAAAGTTTTTGTTGAAAAATGATTACACGTTGCTTTCTTTCTTATTAAATTGTCTCTAGTGGTCCAATGATGTTCTTTGAATCACCAGCATTTCCTGTTTTTGGTGAAATCGATAAAAACAGTCCAGCAGCTCAATGGTTTCGTCAATTATCTCAACAATTAGCTCTACCGTCATTACCCAAAGCAATTCTCGTCATAACAGCACACTGGGAAACATCAAATACTATACATATTAGTGCACAGGAAAAACATACAGAACTTCTTTATGATTATCATGGGTTTCCATCAGACGCTTACAAACTTAAATATAATCCATTAGGTGATATAAATTTAGCTAAACGAGTTAAAACATTACTTGAAGAAATTGGCATATCTGCTAAACTTGATGATAAGAGAAATTTTGATCATGGCGTTTTTATTCCGCTCAAACTTATTTATCCAGATGCAAATATTCCAGTTGTTTCGATGTCTATCCTACAAAGTTTGTCTCCAGATCAACATTTAGCTATCGGCAAAGCTCTTGCACCATTGAGAAAAGAGCAAATATTAATTATTGGATCAGGTTCGTCTGTGCATGGATTTCAAGTAACTCAAACACAAGCAAATGCATTTATGAATGAATTAACTAAAGCTCTTACACAATATGATGAACATGACCGTGAAAGAGTTTTACTTAATTGGGATAAAATATTACCTCATGCACGAATGAATCATCCACGTGAAGAACATTTTATACCTCTGCATGTTGTTGTTGGTGCTGCAGGTTCAGATCGCGGAGTAGTACTCAATCCAAATGTAGCAAGTGCACAAGCTTCTTTTAAATTTGGTGTTTAGAACTTATGAAAATATATGTTGTCTTCTAGAGCTATGAATAAAAAAAATAAAAGGAGCTTGATCGAATTTGATTTCCGAAAGAGCAATGCGTGTGATTAACAGAAGAAAAATCAATATTCTTTGTTCTCTTCTTTTTTTTTCTTAGTTGTCTAATTCGATTTTGTTCTGAGAACTCTCTTTTCTTCTTGTAACTCTAACATGATGATGGTAGATGGGACGAGCCAAGGGATAGGCGCGAAAATAGAATGAAAATCATAAGAAAAGAAGGCTCAAACATTACTCCTGGCACGCATACAAGCGCCAATATAACCTTGTGTGCCATCTGAAACACACGCAAACGACGACAAGAACGATAGAACGCAATACATTTTCTATCAAGCAGTAATAGAAAAAAAAACCTTATTATATCGACCAGACAGATATAACAACGTACGTCTCGTTTTTTTTATTACTATCAATGTGGAAAAAGCTTAGAGACGTTTTATGTCGTAAAGGTAAGCTAATCATTTGCATTTTAGGATAAGATCGAGACGACCTTTATTTTATGTTGCATATAACGCTAGAGCTCAACAAGATAGGAAAGGGAATTAAATAGGTTGTACAACAAAGAGTGAATGACAAGTTTATTTATACAATATGCATGAGAAAAGTTCTTGTCATCAAACACCAGTGAAATAAACAGTCATGGTTCCCACAATTGTTCTGTAACCAGACAAATAATAATGAGGATAGAAAAAGACTAATAGCTTCTGTACATAGACCGTCTATTATCCATGGATATAAGATCATGTAATCGTTTTGATCAATATAGACGAGGTCGATGAGATGAGCAAAAAAGAACATACAGTTCTATTATTTGCACTGTAGAACTAATAGTTTATAACATGATCTTTCCTATGTTATTGATGAAGCATGAGAGAATGAATAATGTGTTTGGTGAAATTATCTGTAAATGGAATTTTAGGATGTAATGTCAAAGGCACAGAAAAACAAAAAAACAACTAAAGGTGAAAATACTTTACATAGTATACATTTATATGAATTATTCGTCTACCATCTTGTTTAAATGAATAATCTTTATTAGAAGAAAAGAAAAACAGATTACCATATTTAGTCCTTTGTTGAACAAGCGTTTTATTTTTTCTGAGAAGTTAGATCAATTTTGAAAATTCAATTAATTAATTAATAGTATTCAGTCAAGAGTCTTCTACTTCTTCTAATTATAAAAATATTTCATCCTTTTATAGTATTTCAAATAAAGAGAAGTTCAATGATTTCTTCGTTAAATATCCTAAAGTAGTTTGCTTGTGAATGTAAGTAGTGCGGTTTTTAATATAGTAGTTGCTATCAAGAAAAAGAAAGGTTTTCAACAAATATAGCCACATTTTCTTTTTTTTCCTTTTTGTTCAACGAGTCACTTAGCAGTAAAGAGAGAGGGGAGTAGCTTGTCGCCTTCCGATTTCACCTGTGCAATTCTTTTCTTGTTTTTCCTTCATGTAATTTTTAAGTAAGCTAAGTTAGTCAGTCGTCCACATCTCTTTTTTTTATAAAAGACCTTGAACAGCATTGTTAGATATTCAGCCGTCGTACTCATTTCGCTATCAATCAATTAATTCATACTAATATCATACATTGCAAGGTTTCTATCTACCAAAAAACCTTTCGTTGTCTTTTTTCCCTTCTATTCGTGGCCAAAGTTCAGCTATAAAAGCACTGATATTCAGCTAAATGTAACACCTTTGCTTTCGTTTTCTCTTTCTTTCTCTCTCTTTCTCTCTCTCTCTCTCTCTCTCTCTCTCTATCTCTATCTCACTCTTTCTTTCTCATTGTGGACGATACTTGATCCATTTAGGTGATATAGTATACTCGCTTACATAAAGAGAGAATGAGAATATAATATCTCAATACAACAATGAAACGATAAGCTTTCATCAAGCAGTATATCTCTTTTTTCTTCTATTTTCTCTCTCGCTCTTCTCTTATTATTCCCATTCTCTTGTTGACGTCGTGAAAGCGGAAACAATTGTTGCTTGTTTTGCTATTCTCATCGACGCTTAGCACATCACTATTCATCGCAGATCACTATTCTCTTCTGTGATTACTCGTGCAAAATGTTTCTGAAATTACTTGTAAATGCATTTGAACATGCAAAATCCAAAATAACTTCAACACGTTCGATTAATCGAATTTCATCAGGTTTGTTTGAAGTTTTTTCTCTTTGAACTACATCAACTCATTTAGTTTTAAATAAAATAGTACCATATTTTTCTTTTCTTTCTTTGTTTTTTTTGAAAGAATCAGATGATGAATTTGATCCAAACAATTCTAAACAAAGTTCTCCATATGTTCCATCAATAATTCATCAGCAACCTCGTTCATCTTTATCAAAATGGTTATGTACAACCACAGCATCTGCTAATAAATCGGTAAGAGAGATAAAATTATTTTTCATATCGAATATCACATGATACTTTAAATTGATTTTTAATAAGAAAGAGCTTCATTCTAATAACCTTCATCTAAATAATGAATACATCCAGGTGGTCATATCTTGAGGTCACACAAATTTAGTCTTGTTTAATTGAGCTATGATCATTTTCTTTTTGCTATGTTCCATTTGTCATGCATCTATATACTTGCCAATTATATAGAAAGTAGAGGATTCGCCCGTTCTCTTTCACCTTCCATGTACTTTTTTCTCGTTTCTCTCGGCTTCTTTTTCCTACATGCATACTAATGTAATATAATTACACTGTAAGTTGTTTTGTGATAACAGAAATCAGACGATATCTGAAGCACTTATTGTTTTATATGTACTATGTCTACCAGTCATTACTATAAAATAGTTACCACATCGATAAGAACAATTGCCTAATCGACATGCAAGTCACATACAAACATAGATGACGAGAAAAGAAAAATACGTGAACATAGATTAGAAATAATGCTGATGAGAAATCTACAAGAAATCATGTCAAAACATAGATATGCTATCAGAAAAAGATGGTAATTCAATGACATTGATTATCAATTGCTGTCATTAACCAAAAGAAGAAAAAACACCAAATAACAAATGTTTTGATAGGTGCTTTAGATAATCAAATCTATTTTTGTCTTGCTCCAATTTATCATTATCATTCATAGAAAACATTATTTTTCATCTATACATAAACATAGATTGTATCATCGAAAGCAAATAAAGTACGTCGAAGTACTTCATGGCGATCTCTAAAGGAGCGTGGAAATAATTATATCGAACATATTACTTCACGAGCATTATCTGTTGATGAGATTCATCAAAATGATAAAAAATACAAGCAAGACACTTCTATACGTAAAGAAAAATATAATCGACGCGATCGTATGTTGATTGCGTTTAGACGATTGATATGTAGAAAAACGATTTCTTTTTTTTTTATCGATATAGCTTCACATTCACCATCAACCGATTCAACTCATCAATGTCAACGAAAAGCAGGTCTTAATCGAATCCGTTTATCAAATTGTGATGCATCAACTAGTCTTCCAACAAATCATAATCATTTTTATGGTTCATCATCAACATGTGTCAATTATGCAGATAGAAATAAAAAACAAAATTTATCAACAAAATCTCATCGAAGAAACAATCGAGAAAAATTTCCAACTAATAAAATAAATAGTGTAGGTGGAGATTCTGGCTATTCAGAAGAAAGTTTTTCAACAACAATATCTTCCTATACACGTCCATTACATACATCATGCCCTCATTGTCATTGTGAAAATCGTTCATCATTTAATAATTATAAAAAATCTCATGACAGCTCTTTAACGGATTCACCAACGTCAGATACGACAATCAATAAACAAATTCATTCATCAGATTTTTATTATCATCTTCTTCAACACAAGCAAATCTTATCAGCTAGTCGATCTTATCCACATATTAAACCATTACCGAAAACAACGATTCAATCACAAGCAATTAAACCTTCAATAAAACAACAACAACAACAACAACAAAGACACAATAGATCGTATGGATCAAAAAGACGACGACATTTATCTTGTGATAGTTCACTTTGGTCTAGAACACAAACACAACAACCAATTCAACAAGTAAGATTTGAGAAATCAAGTGTCAATCGATCTAAATAGGAAAATAATAAATAGAAATTAATATTAATTATTACATTTTAGAGAGCATCGCCAGTAGTATCTGAACCTAATCATGCAATTCGTCAACGTCATTTCACAACGATTGGTATGATGCATGATGATTCATCATTGGCCTACTCAAAAACTTCATCGACTTTGCCAAAAATGAAACCTGTTTGTGATGAACTTAATTTAGCTGCAATAGAATTAGATTCTCTACGTACATTGGAATGTTATCGTACATCATTTTCATCTTCATATTCATCATCCTTAACATCATCATCATGCTCATTAAATACTGATAAACAATTAAAACAACCTCGTTCTCATCCGAAAAAGTCTTCTCGACCGAAAGGAACGTATCTTGTTTGGCATGAATATAAAAATTCTTCATTATTATCAGCAACAAACGGTGCAAAAATATTTTCAGTTATACGCGGTGATCAAGTACGTTTATTACGACGCATTGGTAAATCAACTTTGCTTGTAAAGAAAGAAGAGGATGGTTCAATTGGATTTCTACCACAATCATGTTTAGCACATGATGAGATAAACTCATTTTTATCTGTTAAAGGATTAAGAGAAACTGTTTTGTAATAAAACACGATCAGATTTTTTTGACATATTTGACCTTATACATCGTTTAGTTGCTTATTTCTATAATATGTCAACGTCCAATGAACAAATTCTCATAGAATTATTGAGATCAAAAATAACATAACATGACATTTCGAAATGATAGCTGATATATTGCAAACCGTTTTATTGTATACATGTGTATTTATTTATTTTATCATCAGAATTTTCTTAGAAATATAAGCGAATCATGATTACTAATGATTCCATTATTCTTCAAATTTATTATTGATATTTAATGTCTACTTATTTTTTTCGCAATAATAAATCTCATCATATATTGAAGAAAAAGAAAAATATATATATTTTTTCAAAAATGACACTAAACATTTTCGATTAAAACAAATATCTTTTTTCATACAAATTCAACGCTTCATGTTTGAAACATAATTTAATCGAAGTGAAGAATTCTTTGATAGAAAAATAAAGCACAAGAGCAATTCATGATGTTTGTTAATGATTTAAATGGCAAAATTATTTTTATTCAATATTATTTATAATATTTTGACAAAGATTACTCTTCGAATATTATGACCTATAAGATATTTACAACATATTGAATTACGTTTATTCACATAAGGGTAGAAAAAAACAGGAAGAAAATGTAAATATGATTAACCAACGCAACGTGTGCTGTCGATAAAACGAAAAAGGCAGTAGAGCATCCAACTCCTTGGAGACATCATATATCGGATGTAGTAGAAAACTTCCCTTAATCATTGTTGCATCAACATTTTTATTACTCAGAGAAGTAATTTAAAACTCCACAATGAGGGATACTTATTTGTTTTTAGATGAGAAAGCGATGCATAATAAGTGATAAAATAAGTACAACGTTTCCAGTTCCATTGTCATCTTAGCTCTATGTTGGATAAAAGCAAAAACGTAGCGTTAATAAATTGGAATTTTCTGAGAAAATTGAAATTTTAATCAGTAACTAACATCAAACCGTACTTTATCTTCTGTAATTCTAGCTAAAAATTCTTAAAAATTGAAGCTCTCAATGATGTAACATTCTTTATTTATATTTCTAAAATCTTCGTATTATTGTTAAGTGCTTTTATTTTAAAATTATGAAAATAAATGAAGGATACCAGAAGACTTTTGTGAAAAGTTTCCATGTTGGAAGATAATAGAAAATTGAATATTCCCAATTACAGTACTTGAGATACTAATCTTTGGTCAGAGTAGTTTCTTTTTGCATGAAAATATTATCATGGTATTTGCTAATAGTATTATTTGATCATACTTTCTTCAGTATTACTTTTTTCTGCATAAAAAAATCGAAGTCATGCTATGAAATGTTGAAGCTTGGTTATAGTCTATCGTTGAAAAAATAATTGATTTATATGTAATGAAGATAAATTGAAAAGTCAAAGATATCGTCGAATTAAAGAAAACAGAGAAAACATGCAGAGTTTTTAACACTTATTATTAAATGCTCTATTAATAAAATTTTATTTTTCTGTGTTTATTGAACAAGTTGCTACATAAGAAAACAGATACTATTGTAATATATTCATCGTTTATCTATTGAAATTATTAAATCTACGGTCTATTTCACAATCAAATTTATTTTATTTTTCATGTGAACGCTAATATATATGTATACATCAATATATGAGTAGATTCCCATTTCTACAGTTCGATCAATTGTAAAATATTGACGATGTAATCAGACAATTCAATGGTCGTGTTTTTTTTTCGTAATTTTATCCCGACTATATGAATTCTATGGCGAATCGTATGCTATTTGAAAATAAAAGCAATTTACAGTAACAATCGAGTGAGACGATTTATTATATTTCTATCATAAAAGAAGGCCGCTTATTAATCTCTTTTCAATAAAGAAAGATATAATTTCTTAAAGGATTTAGTACAGTTGTGTTTTTATTATCGTTGTTTTTTTCACAGCTTTGTCTCATATAAATTATATACACACAGAGTTTTGACACTAGTACTTATGAATCTGTTGTCTTAGGATAACAGCTAAAAGAAAAAATGAAGGAAAGAAAAAAATCCAGTGAGCATCATCTGATAGACACACACATACAATAGGATAATTGGTTGAGCAGAATAAATGAACTGAAAAAAATTAATGAGAAGAGAAAAAAATAAAGAACATAGCCATCAATATGGCATATACACATAATACAAAAGGCAGGAAGAAAAAGAAAACGCATGCGTACATTCACACATAGCAAGATTTAGACCAATTCCAAGACTTTAACAACACCTTGACTATTTGCTGCTAATAAAATATTTTCACGCTAAAAATAACAATAAAAACCAATAAATCTTAGTAAAATACAAATGAAAAACAAATCTTTTTTTACATACATTACTCCAACACATAGCGCTAACGAATTCTGTTCCAGTTTCTTCCTTTTTTGCTCGATCAGCATTAACTGTTGCTGTTTTGGCAGGTCCATTGTTCGTATCATCAAATTTATAACTAATTAATGGTCGAGATATTTCACGTTGATATAAATGTACTGTATTGCTTTCACTTCCTAAATACAATTTCAGTAGAGATTTTTAATTTTCTATTTAATTTTAAATAAAATGTAATTCTCACCACAGGCAATATAACCATTTGACACAGCTAAACCAACAAAATTCTTTTCATTAACATGTCCACGATATGTTCTTAAACATTGTCCTTCTGTGACACGCCATAAGCGAAGTTGGCTATCTGTTGATGCTGAGACAATTTCATTGTTTGATAGAAATCGAGCATACGACACAGCTTTTTTATGACCTCTTAATAAATGACAAGGTTCACGTGGATTACGTAGATCGAAATAATATAAATTATGATCAGCTGTGCCAAAAACAATATTGTATTGAGAATCAGGCTTAAATTTAACACAGCAAACATTGGATTTTGCATCGATGGTTGTTACAGAATAATCATTATGCATTGACCAAATTTTAACTAATATTAAATTCATTTTATTATTAAGATAGAAAAAGGAGACGAGACTTTTATTTACCTTTACAATCATCAGAACAAGAAGCAAGTAATTTTGGATCAGATGAACAAAAATCAACACTCCATGAACGCTTTTCATGTTCCTAAAATCAATTATTTTCCTGTTTTTTTTAGAACAAAACTAATGAAAGATTTTTACTTGAAAAGTTCGAACTTTTTGTGCTGTTGCCATATCCCAGATAGAAACAAATCCATCATAATCACTTGATGCTAAATAGTTTCTTAGATATGGATTCCAACTAATACAACTTAATTTAGCTGTACATAAAACTTCTTTTACAGGATAATGTAAATCAACTGTATTATCTAATATTGATTGATATTCATATAGCTTTAAAAAAGTCCATAAGAAAATATTTTTTGAATATCTGTCTTTCAAACTAAAAGGTTTTACTTTGATCTTTTTTGAAACACCAGCAACAGCAAAATGTTCATAATCTCGATCGAATTCAATACTAAATTAAAACAAAATTTTATTCAAAAACTAATAATTCAAATAAATTTTATCTATATATAGACAATTTTATCATTTAGATGATTATTTTATGCATAAAGAAGAACATTTTTGATTATTCAAAAAATGACATATTTTTCTAAATTTTCGATATGGCCTTAGATAGTGAGAGACATAATATCTTAGAGTTCCTTTGGTTATACATGAAAATAAAATAGCTATCTATCTAATCCATGTCTCAGAAAACTATAATCTTAATTAATGTATTCGTATAAACAGATACAATTTGAATTTAGGCTTTTGAGTTGAAAAATCGAGGCAGACTAAAGCTAATATGATTTCTAAGCTTTAAAAATGATTTCCTAAAATATTCAACACATCTTTCATATTTAGAAAAATAATAGTACACCTTATTTAATTAAATTAAAACTGATAATTTATCTTTCAGCTTCGTTTAAGCTAACTTGTATGATGAAAGAACACTTAACTCTTACATTCACCGAATAATTATTATTAAACTAGCGTTAGTCACGTTGTACAATAATTGACAAAACTTTAGCCTGCATAAGTGTTTATTTAGCAATATTGTCAGTTCAAGAAGTATGTTTCAAAACTAAATCATGCTTCTAAATGGTCCTTCAATTGTTGCTAAAAACATAACCGAAAACGTATAGAGAATAGAATAAATGAATGAGACCTTCAAAAAATAAGTTTTAATCTTAAAGATTTCAGGAACGTAGCAAAACAAAAATAAATAACATGTAGAATGTAAACTAGATCTCTGAAAAACTCTTTTTAAGTGATAGATTTTCTGAAGTTTTATCATGTTGACCCTTTCATTATCATTATCATTTGTACAGTAGAGTTTAATACAATATTCTTTGACTTATTTGTTATAATATTAAACAACTATTTACTAATTAGATACTAATTAACAGGCAGAATAGTTAATTAAAACTGATTAAATGAACATTGAACCAGCTTGTAATTTTACGCGTACGAACAATAAATGAAATTATTGGGAAAATAATCTTCATTAGGAATCAGAGTTTAATCAAAAAGGTGATCATATTCTAATTCGAGCGATTTTAATCATATATTTATATTGATTACTCATAGGTTTATGTTTTAATATTTCTAAGAAAAGGCTAGTTGTTGTTGTTGTTGCTTGAATTCAATAGAATAGTAAATAAAACAAAGGCAAACCTTGATACAATACTAGCTTGAGCAAAATTTTCTCCAACAAAATTAACAGTTGCAATGGGTTTACATCGTGAATATTTTGTAACAGCAGCTAAATTATCTCGAAACATACTTAATCCACTGTCACCATTACATGATCCATCTAAAAAGAGAAAAGCAAGCATTTTCATGAGGAAAAAAAACAATAAAAACTATTTCAGACCATTTTGAACAGTTAATCTTAATGAATTTCTTGTTGAAAAATAAATATTTGTTAAATCATCCATAAAACGCATCATTATTTTGGTTCGATTTTCAATATCATCATTAGTTATTAATCCATTTGAATTCGTTTCTTCTGGTACCTTGATTTAAAATTTTCAGTTTCTTTTCTTTTCTCAAGAGAAAATCAAACACTTACAACAGCTCCACTAGTAGCGATTCTCGATCCACGACATTCAGCTTTTGTTAAGGCTGATGAATTTGTAGTTGCTGGTGAAATCGATACCGAGGATATCGATGGTGTTGATCCTACTTGTTGTTTTTCGGATTTCATATCAGGTGTTGCATGGAGATCCTTGTAATCAATGAAAAATTTTACGAAATTACTTCTTTTTTTTTATTTCTCCAGTAATAATAAATCTCACTTGTCCACCTGTTTGTACCCAAGTAGGTACTGCATCATTAATTATTGTTGTGTCGTTTGACGTTGACGATGATTCTTCTTTTGTATCTATTGTTGAATCTGACGATATTGTTGGATTATCATCACTAAGTTGTTTAGAATTTGAATTCGTTGAAATATTTACATTTAATGATGAAGATGAACATTTTTGTCTTTTAGTCATTTGTTTTAAATCTTGATCAACAATATTTAATTCCTTTGTTAAAGATTCAATTGCCTATAGAAAACAAAACAAAACAAGTTGTCTAAATAACCTATAGAAAGAAACGTTTCATACTCCATTTCGTTCATGATGAACGTGCATTAGAAATATCTCAAGTAAACGATTGTGAACATATTCACTATTCTACAAAAAGTCATATGTATGAAACTAAGCAAGAATAAACAATTTAAAAAAGCACAAACGGAATCAAGTTTTTCTTTATGTTGACGAATAGCAGAAATAAGACGATCGAGATCTTCAGTATTGAATGTATGAACATTTGTTACCATATCTGAAATATGTTCAACAATACTCTGAAAATTAAAAAGAAAAAGAGATTTTCTAAGAAAAATGCAATTAATAAACATACACCATATTTGCTAAATGTTGAAGTTAATGGACGTTGTTGACGATATTTTTCAATGATTGCATTTACTATATTTTCAATAACAAAAAGATTACTAGTGTTAAATTAAACGGCTCACAAAAATATTTCATACGTGTATAGTTTGGAAAAATATCGGATGATTGAAGACTTAATTGACATTTTGGACATCGATGAAGCGATTCAACTGTTCTTTGAAGACATTTACTACTACAAAGATAAATAAGCAATTCTATAAAAGCTTTATTTCTTTAATTTAGGAATTATTTTTTCTTTTTCTAACAACAAACTGTAATTATGGAGATATTCATCAAAGCTTGAAATGTGCATTTAACTAGAAATCACTATTCTTAATTGTACGGTACAAACCAGTAAAAGATAGGATGTAAACTAATTTAGTACGAATATTGACAAGAAGATGGTTAGGCCTGTAAATTTAAATTATTAGTTTAGAAGAGAAAGAAAAATACTGATATTTCGCTATTGTTTTCAATTAACACAAATTCTATCGACAATATTACCAATCAATATGAAATTTTTTTTTCCAGCTACCTATTTCAACTAGTCTCAAATCTATGGACACAATTTTATTAATATATTCTTTCCTAAAGAGCTTTCTGTATACATCAAACTCTGTTCGATGTAATAATTATTTTGTATCCTCTAATTAATGAATGAGATAAAATAAGTTTTCATGATCAAACTTTTATTTTCATATAAAACTAATCGAATAGGAAGTAGTCTATAAATTAGTGTTCTAGCAGCTGCATCTAAGATTGACGAATAGAATACAAGACAGGTAATAATATGCATGATCTATTTTAACAACTTTTAAGGCTATGCAAAATTCTGCGTAGATCTATTCATTGAGATTTATCACAAACCTCTAAACGTTTTGTAAATTACTATCAATTTGATTTTAAGCTGTCATATTTGAATACTCTTAAAAATTTACATAAATCAATTGAAATTTATTGTATGAAGTTAACTATGCTCTGCCTTCTTATGACAAGCGAGTGAAGTTTTATCCAGAAATCCTATGAAGTACATGTTTGTCTTTTGTACAAATATGATAAAAAAGAACTTGCTAAGCTAACTATTATTTTTTACTGATATGATCTACACGATGTGTTCATCGATAATAGGTGGCTTAAACAAGTTTTTTTATCTTATATTATCTGAAAGAATACTTAGTATAATTTTCCACACCCTCAAGATTTTTGTTAAAATTTGTAGTGAAACTAGAAAAAAGAAGCTCAAATAGTTTTGGAAATATATTTGCATAGTTGATCAAGCTGACAATATACATAATTATTTACGGAAAGTTCTATCTAACAATCTTAGAAACATTTCATGATGAATTTATTTATTTAAAAAGTCAATTTGGACAACTAAGAATAAACGAGACATCATATAAAATACGACAGTTTTGATTAATTCTAGCTGGAACAGTTAACTCATCTTTTATTTTAAGATTACAACTCGAATGGAAATAATCATCCCTACTGGTATATGAATGACTATTTGAAAAAACATTCGATATCGAATAGATTTCAGTGTATCCATGTAGTCTTTTAAACTTATTAAAATATTATATAGACAAATGTCTAGGTTTATATTAACAGAATATAATATAGTTGATGGTAAAAACAAGGTTAAGTCTATTAATATCGAGTTATCAAGTTTCGGAGTATAAACTCTCCTGAAAACATTTCGTTTAATACAATTGATATAGATTGATAGAGAAGAAAATGTTTAATTAAAAGTTCACACGACATGAATCGCTACAATAGTTTCTCGTTTTGTTTTCGAAATATCTTTGGCAACTTTAGACCATTTCTTTTTTTTACTAATACAAAATTCTTACCAGAAACTGTGTCCACATCGAGAGACGAATGCTTCATTGATTAATTCAAAGCAGATTGGACTAAAATAAGGACAAAAATTTTATTTTGTTTTACCTAACGAAAGCATATTTTGCTGCTATACCAATTATAATCTTCTTCAATATTTGAAGTAAGAGAAGATGTTTTTTCAACTTTTGGTGATATTGTTGTATTGATTGTTGTTTGTGGCTGAGATGATGATGGAATTTCATCTGTACGAGTTCGTTTAACACCGGACATTTTATATCAAAAAAAAATCAACGATCTATTTCTAACAGATATATGTATACGTATAGACTAAACAAAAGAATATACGAACATCTTACTCGTCTTATATGATGTACGCAAATGATCGACGTATGAAGCGTTCGAATAATATGTAAAGAAATAGTTCACTGACGTTTTTTTTTCTTTCTACCAAACAGACAACGGACTAGTAGTTATGATTTGTAACATACAGAATCACTTGAATCATACAAAAAAGACTGTCTTTCCGTCTTTTTTCGTAATGAAAACGTATTATTCAGATAAACCTGTATATTTTGAATTTATTTTTGAATTCTTTTTTCCTGCAATTGCTAACTTATTTCTTCGATCGTTGAAATGACATAAAGTGAAAACTCACAAAAGGAGTTACACAGAATCATTTTTATTGGTTTAGACTGTAACAAATCAGATTGATAGGGGAAAAAAATTTAATTGCTGTACAAGACAAGATATATAATTGAATTGAATCTAGCTAGCTGATATTTTTATTTTGTATCAAACTATGTTTCTAGTAGATAAACAATATTGTTTTATAATCTACATAAGACTTACACTGTCATCTAATCAGTTACGTAATCATGGATTGATTGATCAAATATTGTATAATAAAATGGTTTGATTCAATAAGCAAAACTATAGTATCAAGCTTAAAAAAAAACAGAAAAATAGTGTGATGAGGGTATTTGGAGTGAGAGAAGAGGCGGCAACTCATGAGCTTATGTAGAATGATCCAATGGTGTTGTCAGAACATTTAGGACGGTTCTTTACTTCTGCTACATTCTCATCTACAGTTTCAACTCGTAATCTACAGTGATCTTCAGTACTGTATTCCCTAAACTATGATTTCGTTTGATGGAAAGAATGGACTAAGATGTAATTAGATGATTTTTTAACTGTTCAGTCGCTTTTGACTTCGTACGCTTTACATTAGGGAGACCCTAGTAAGATATGAAAAATCTTGAAGGAACAACCACCTTTAGGTCTTCTGTCGGCACAAATATAAGTATTTTATTTTATTGGAATTCTAGCCAATAGCATATAGTAAAAACCTGAGTTTAATCGATGCAATTACAAATACATTATCATAGAGATGTTGTATATACAATAAATATACGGTGTCCTAAAATACATTAGACTGTTTGTAATTTTAATATTTTTCCATTTTATCAAATTTGATCTGGCTGAAAGTTATACCATATTGAAGAAAAAATAAAACTTATGTAAGTTGAAAAATAAATTTTTTAGCATTATGTGCTAAAACTCTATGAGAGAGCGAGAAAAGTGAAAGTTGTCACTGCGTAGATCATGTAGACCTCTATTTTTCGACTGCAATTTTAAAATATTCGAGTTTTAATTGAGGACGTAGAAACTGTTATATATTTTTTTTACCAATTACAAGTAGCGGCGTAACCAGGATTTTAAGCTAGGGGGGGCTCGACCCCAAGACTCTTTAGAATTAATTAAAAACTGAATTTCTTCCACCTTTTTTAGGAGATGTTGTACTTGCTTGATGTTCACTAACATATTTTTCATGTTAAGAGTAGCATTTNCAAGGGGGGGGGCTCAAGCAGTTCTGGAGGGGGCTCAGCCACCCCCAGCCCCCCTCGTGGTTACGCCACTAATTACAAGAGAAGTTATCGAAAATTTTTTGTATTAGATTTAATGCAATACGTCAAGATAATGACAAGTTTGAGAATCATTGATCGTTTTACTTCTCTTTGGGAAAAATAAAAATGAAAGTGAATACCGATTTAAAATAAACAAAGTCGAGTTGAATTTATTCAATTACAGTTGAAGAATAGTTTTCAATGTATAGATGAAGGAGTCGATTGTTTTTCTTCATATATTAAACATAATTCATTATATTCTCAATCTGATTCATGAATGAGAGATGTAAGGACTGGAAAATAGTTTCAAATAATTCTTTAACCAGCACTTTATTGTATAACTAAACATTTCATTTTAGTTACAAAAATAATTGATTAATATTCAACAGAAAGATTTCATCCGCGTGCTTTTCGTCTGCATTTCAACAGATCTTAAGATAAGACGAAAAGAGAATAGATTTATATGAGACCATCTCATCATCTGGTTTTGATAAATTCTTTTCCTTTTTTGTTTTAGATTATTTTATTTTTAAATAGGGTTGCGATACTATTAGTGAAACACCGATTAGTTTTCATTATAGATAAGCAAATCCTGTGACCAATATATTTTCTCATACTTCAAGACATTTCTAATCAGTAAGCATATCCAACCATCAAGTTACTTTTGAGATACATTTCTTTTTTCCATACAACTCTAGCTTAAAAACCATTACTTGCTCTTAACCAATGAAAACTACGAACGATGTATAAGTGTACTATAATTTAGTTTGTATAACAAAAGGAACAACACTAAAATAGTAACCATCTTGAGAGGAAAAAAACAGATTTCAAGTCGATAACAATTTTATAAAAATAAATTGATATAATAAATATAAACTATACATTGCATAAAATGTATTTTACCAGTTGAATAACTGTAGAATTTTTGTTGGATGATAATGTGTAAATGATTTAAAAAATGATAATGTGACTTATGTATGAATAATTCATTCGAATAGAAACGATGAAAACTTGCAAGGAGATACATAACAACATTTTTATTGGTGTAGAATACAACAAATCATAAGGATAGAAAAAATATAGTTTCGATTGTTCTAAAAGGAAAATAGAATAGAATACTAGGGTCAATGAGTTTTTCTTTTCATTATCTACCGAAGAATACTTGTAACAATAAGCGAAATCGTTTTGTAATCTACACAAAACTATAATGATCACTTAATCAGTTATGTAATCATGGATTGAACTATCAAATATTGTATAATCACATTGTTCGATTCTACGTACAAAACTATCCTTTGAAACTTGAAAAACGAAGTAGAAAAACATCAAAATGAGTGCAACTTTTTTTAGATCAGATAAATACAAAAACTAAATGACCTCAACTACTAATAGTATAACACAAATCCGAGGTCAAGATTTCGCGGTCGGTAATCGTTTTGTTAATTTAAAATACCTTGCAGCTGGCGCTTATGGGATGGTTGTGTAAGTAATGTATTTCATTTAGCAGCAACTTTCTATTAAAAACTTCTTTTTAGATCGGCATTTGATACTCAAACACTTGCAAATGTTGCCATAAAAAAGATTTCTCCATTTCTTTCCAAGGTAAATTGCCAACGAACATTACGTGAAATTCGAATACTTCAACGACTTAAACATGAAAATGTAAAAATAAATTCTTTTATTTTCATCTTGATAAAATCTTATAAATTTCTTTGTAAAGATCATCAACATCATAGCCATTCTTAAACCAACATCACTGGAACAAATGAAAGATATGTTCGTATAAAAATTCAGATCAGATTTTTATTTTAATCTATCTTTTGTTTTCTTAAAGTTATTTAATTGAAACATTGATGGATACTGATTTATCTCAATTAGTTACACATCAAAATGGTTCAAATATTCTTTCTGATGAGCATATCCTTTATTTTACTTATCAATTATTGAGAGGCGTTAAATATATACATAGTGCCAATGTGTAAGTATGCAAACTAAAAGATTGTAATTTACGCCAGAAATATCTTCATTCGATTATATATTGTGCTAGCAATGCTACATACATCAGCAAAGCTGATATACGTTATTCTTATACGAAAAACTTCCCTGTTATTATTTTTCAATTGAACTGTTTGTTTCTCCTCACGATATGATCCAGTATTCGAACGAAAGTCGTAAAATATTCTAAGTTGCGTTGAAAACTTCATAGAGCTATTCAATTTTTAATATGTTCATTTTTCTGAGATTCCTGCAACAGTTCAGCTTTTTAGAAAATCATGTTTTCAAATTTTGGTTTGAAAAAAATCCTCATTTGAACATCTTTCATACTCTAATTTATTTAGTCAATATTTGACTTACTATCTACTACAGATGATTTTTTAAAATACGAAATATATGAACTACCAAATTCATTATACAAACTAGTATTTATAACAGAATCAAATGTAGACATTTGATATCTATTCTTCATAAAAGATGCAATTTAAATGCTCCAGATGAGAAAACTAGTTACCAGTTTATTTTTGAATTTCTAACTCGTTGAAAGTTCTCATAATGAAAAAACAGAATATTCTCGAATATCAATCTTAGAATTTAAAATTATTTAAAACGATATTGTAAATGATATTGCTCTACTCATGTTTGCATCTGTAACCTTCAACAATAATTTATGGTGACGGATACGCCAGATATAATGAAAAATTCTATACTTTTCAATGGTGAATCAGTCGGTTCAATTTCTTCACAACCTATGTTTCAGTCAATTTCCATCACTTATTCTAAAATATGAAACTCATAAAATACAATGATTGTATTTTATACGAATTCCATACAATATTCACATTTTTAAGAGACGAATTTACTTTTAGTTTACATCGTGATTTGAAACCAAGTAATTTACTATTAAATCGATCATGCGATTTGAAAGTAAGACGAAAAAATACAATAATGATTTCGTTAGTGAACGTTTGATTTTTTCATTTGATTCATTAAAAGATTTGTGACTTTGGCCTTGCTCGGACGGTGGATGATAAACCAAGAGATGACGGTTTATTAACAGAATATGTTGCAACACGATGGTATCGTGCGCCAGAAATAATGGTTAGCCAACGTTGTTATCATAAATCGAGTATGTTTCTATGTTCGAAAAAAGATCTCATTCATTTCTTTGAATTGATTTAGTTGACCTATGGTCATGTGGGTGTATTTTGGGCGAAATGTTACTTGGAAAACCATTATTTCCTGGTCGTCATTATGTCGATCAATTAAATCACATTTTTTCAATCATTGGTTCGCCAACGAAAGATGATTTAGCATCGATTCGTGATCCTCGGGTAAGAGTTCTCGTTTCGTCTGTGCAAGTTCAATAACATGTTTTTTTGCTCCCTTCATTAAAAGGCTTGTTCTTACATAAGTCGAATGCAATTTAAAGCAAAACGGTCATTCAGTGATCTATTTCCTCGAGGAAGTTCACTCGGTATGTTAATCTGATTTTTGTATAGTTCTAAAATCTAGAAAATATTCTTCGTTTAGCTTTTGATCTTCTTGATAAACTATTAACATTTAATCCATCATTGAGATTAACAGCTGAACAAACATTAAGTCATCCATATTTAGCTCAATACTCAGACCCTGACGATGAAGTAAATCATTTGTTCTTTTTCGTTTCAAAATAGAATTTTTCTTGATTTCTTTATTAATCATAGCCAATATGCTCAATACCATTTTCCTTAAATGATGATATGACTTGTGTTTGTACAATAGACGATTATCGTCAATTTATCTTTGATGAAGTTCAAACATTTTCACCAAACAATTGATTGTATATCTAGTCTTCAATTATTTTATATGTCAGATATTTTTGTGTTGACTACCTCTTCGGTTTTTGTTTCGTTTTTTGAAGAAGAATTTATTAAATTTTTTTAAAGATATAAAAGAAGAAAAATTGTAATTTGTTGTAGAAATGAATTTATATGAAATTCTTGGTGTATCATCCAACTGTACATCGGATGAACTTCGACAGGAATATCATCGGCTTTTACTTGAATGTCATCCAGATAAAATCAATTCAAATGATTCAATAAGTCGAAAGCGTTTTGAAGATATTCAAAATGCTTATAAAATTCTTTCAAATGTTGAACTTCGATTAAAATATGACCAAGAACAAGAACGTCATCATTTACATACTCTTCCACACACTAAAATTGATTCAAACGAGTTCGATGATGATGATGAATATATTTGTCGCTGTGGAACTGTCTTAGAAATCGATAAAGAAATTGATACTGATATTATTGAATGTCCAAATTGTTCAATGAAAATTCAACTGAATAAGAAATAAAAATTTGTTTGCATTTTAAGGAAATTATTTATCGCGTGTTATTTTGATCCGAAACGCATTATTTTCTATTGAATAGTAATTATTCCTCATAGAGAGCGTTATTATGAGTATAAATAGACATTAACGTCAGTGTTACCTTAGGATAAAACTAAAAATACTACAAAAAATACATTCATGATAAAGAATCATGGTTTTTTCCCTTTCTTTTTCTCTTTCCACCAAGTCAACCATCCGTATAGTCGAAGCATATTTATTATTTCTTCGTCTGTACTAGTCATATCTTAGCGGATATAACTCAAGTATTTATTGGTTTGTTTATATTAAAATAAGATCGATGGCTTATAATGCTCTGATAAAGTCGTTGGAGCCAGAAAAAGTATCTCCAGTATTCACGAATGATGAATCAAGTGAAAATATTAATGAAGACCTAGCTTTAGTATGGTTTGATCAGTATATGGATGAAATTGAAAATCAAAGCGATGTTGAAATTACGAAAGGTTTATTAAGACAAATACATCATTATGTTATCTTTTTTACTGAACCAGATGCATGCATCGATTATTTAAAATCTATTTCAAAAGAGAAAACATTTTTGATTATATCTGGATCGTATGCTATTGAATATCTTGATAAAATACATTCAATGCAACAAGTTGATTCTGTATTTATTTTCTGCCTATATCTAGAAAAATATTTAGGATTAAAAGAAAAATACTCAAAAGTAATCGATGTTTTTAATCAACAACCAGAGCTAATTGATTCACTCTCGAAGAATGTTGAATTAGCTGTTAGACAAGCAAGCATTTTTGGTTTATTTGATGGTAAAGAGCGTTCAACAAGATATTTAACACGAGAAGCGGGTTCATTTCTTTGGTTTCAATTGTTAACTGATGTTTTAAGAAATATAACAAAAACCGACAAACATAATACGGGTATTGAAGACATGCTCATGCATTGTCAAGCTTATTATCGAGGAAATCGTCTTGAATTAAAAAATATTGAAGAATTCAGAAAAAAATATGTAAGTTGATTTCAAGAAAAAGAAAAGATTCTAAATTACGAAAAAAAACATTTTCATTTATAAAGAGACCAGAAGATGCAATCGTTTGGTATAGTAAGCAATCATTTGTTTATCGATTAGTTAACAAAGCATTACGTACAGAAGACATCGATGCTTTATATACATTTCGTGTTTACATAACTCATCTACGGACTCAAATTGCAATTGAACATCAAAAATTACGTACAGCAGCTAGTACTTCAAAAACGAAGATAATTCGTTTATATCGTGGATTGAAATTAACAAAAAATGAACTTCTCCAAATGCGTGATAATGCTGGTTGTTTGATATCAATGAATGGATTCTTTTCTACTAGTCGAGATATTGAACAAGCTGCTCGATTTGCTACTAAAAAATCTCAAAGAAAAGAGGTTGTTGGAGTTTTATTAGAAATAGGTGGAAATATTGTATGGGATAAAATGATTTTTGCTGACATTGCTCAATATAGTGCTTTTCCAAAAGAACAAGAAGTTCTTTTTGATTTAGCAACAGTATTTAAAATTGTTCATGTCGAATTTGATGAAAGCAGAAAACTATGGATGATGCAATTATCAGGTAATATTATAATTGCTTTCTTATTAGTGCTTGGAGATTTCTTTTAATCATAATTATTTTAAATAATAGAACTATAATATTTCATCGTTGCATACAAATGAATAGATAATATACTTTCTATTATGTTGATAGAAATCTTTCATAAGAACATCTTTAGACTATTTAATAGTTTTCAACTCACTCCTTAGTTTTGATTAAGAAATCGCATTTTCATTAAATGTTTACGATTGATTTTCAATGGTGTTCTTGTTTTTGTTAATTATCATTGTTAGAATATATATATATATATAAGATTGATTGAGAATTTCATTATAACTATGTGTTTTATTTTACTCTACATGATCAAGATTTTAACATAGATCTTAAGAAATGCATTAAAATAGCGATCTTATTGTTTGATTTTATTCGAAAGATATTAAAGGACATATTAATTTAGGTAAGATAAGTGCTAACATTTTTACGAGTGGAAACATACGACCAACAGCGAAAGTGTCGTGCGCAAATGGAGAGAAAAATAATAGATTTCAATAATCTGATAAATTCATGAAAATGATATGAAAAATCCTCCTGCTTGCATGAAGAGAATCAAATAAATGCCTGTCTTTTTCTCTAGAATTCTTTTTACGATATAGTTATTTTTAGCATGTTTAACTATAGAAATAAATAAATTCAATTATTGATCAACATGTTTCTTAAGCTAAAACACCGCTTTTTCTCATAGGCTGTCAGCAGAATAAAACTTTATACTTCTGTTACAATAAACTATTGAAAACAAGAATGTTTCAATTAATTTATTGTTGTCTACAAATTTCAAAAGATTTCACGACCAAAAATTTCAGTCCTTTTCACATGGAAAGAAAAAATTTTGGTTCCGTTTATCATACAGAATATTTCGTTTTGAAAAAAAAAATTATTACTTTTCTGATTTTCGTAGGCGTTGATGAATCATCAAGTGCAGTTAATAAATATATTCAAAGTATAGGAAGAGAAACTGAAGAGTCAAACTCGATTTTATTATTTAGTCGAGTGGTAAGTTATTACTTTAGTATTGAAAAATATTATATTTATTGATGTAGATGTGTGATATGGGCGAATATGAAAAATCTGAGAAATATTTAAAACGTCTACTATCAGATTTACCATCAAATCATGATGATACTTCAAAAATCTATTTTAATCTTGGGCGTGTTTGTTATCTTCGCGGTGAATATAAACAATCTCTTGAATACTTTGAAGAAGCGTTAGCTACACAAAAACGGGAAATTCATCCACACGAATCATCATTAGAGATCGCACGAACATTGCATAATATTGGAAACATTTATTTGGATCAAAAGAAAGTATCAACAGCATTAGAATACTACGAAAAAGCTTTAGAGATGAAGCGTAAAATACTTCATGATCAACCGAAGCATCCATCCATAGCAACATCCTTAACAGCAATTGGGTCAGTTTATAAAAAACGAGGAAATTTATCTCAAGCACTAGAGTTATTGCAGCATGCGTATGCAATGAAAAAACTTACACTAGCAGCAGACCATCCGTCACTAGCTGATTCACTAGACAATCTTGGAACTATTTACGAAGAAATGAATAATCACGAGAAAGCAATAGAATGTTATAAACAAGCATTAAAAATAAAAAAGCAAACTCTACCAACAGCACATCCATCAATAAGTGCTACTTTGAACAATATGGGTATTGTTTATCGAAAAGAAGGAAACTATGATAAATCCTTATCATGTTACACTCAAGCACTCGCAATTGAACAAACAAAATTGTCATTGGATAATTTAGATCTTGCTGATACTTATAACAATTTATGTACACTATATTGTGAACAATCGTTCTACCAGAAAGCATTGGAAATGGCTCAATTAAAATTAAACATATTAAAAAAACATTTTGATGATGATGACGAACAAATCCGACTAACGAAAGCACTTATTGATGAAATAAGTGAAGAAATAAGCCCACAATCCGATACAAAAGCAATTGATGAGGATTCTCTTAGGACGTTTTTTTAAATTTACTAATTATTTGTATTCGGATCATTGTCTCTTTAAACACTTTCATCTCTTGTTCTTCTGCTAGATCGAGCATACAATCGATGCTATAAATTTGATGAAAGGCAATACTTTATTAGATCTTAAATCTATCACTCTTTTATATCATAATTTCAATAGAGCAGGAACGAAGACCATAAAAATTTCTATACTTGCTCTCTCTCTGTCGCTGGTACTGAATGCAAAAAAATCTGTGTATTCTAAATAATATTAAGAATTTCTCAAGTGTGACCATTACCTTTAATAATTCTTTTATTCATCGTTTCTTCTCCGATAAGTGTAGTAAAAACAAAATTACTGTAGAGATATTCCATTGTTACTTAATATTACCATAATTCTATATCAATATTATGCTGTATCGTATGTGATATGCATCTATTTTCCGCTTTGTTTTTCATTTTTGACTATATTTCTATAGTTAAAAGCACTAGGCAATCCTGAAAACAAGAAATGCTTCAAGTTAAACGTGTTTTTTAAGGTTAGAAATACTTTATAGGACTATATTGCGATTTTTCTTCATTTCTTTTTTAATTTCTTTCTCGATGTACGCAAACGACGTTGCTGTTTTTTGCTTCTATATGAGCTAATATGAGTATCACAAGTGTGATGACTTATTTGTAGTAATAGTGTGTTCAAGCTATGTATATAATCAACAAAGTCAACTTGAGACTTACTCATCATCTGATCTGACAAACTCGATCGAATAATTAAAGCATCTATAAGATCATATCTATAGTCTAAGGAAAAAATGAATGGTACATATGATCACTATCCGATTGATTTTCGAATAAGAAAAACTTTTCCAATCGATCCTTTTATTCTTTACATTAAAATTATAATACAAAACAAAACAAAACGACGACTATACATAATTATGATTGAAAATGTCCAAACTAGATGAATTTTCAAAACGATTTAATTATTTAGAAATGTTTCTTTAACATTTAAAATGAAACTAAAAGTAGTTTAGATATATTTATCGTTCGTGCTTATATTTTATTTCAAGTGAGCTCATGATGGTGGTGCGATTTAGGAGTTTATGTCGGTGATGTCCTCTCATTTGAACATTTAAAAATCAATCAGTTTCATAGAACAGAAATAGAGTTTCTATTTTACAGAAATGATTCTTCCATCGATGATGAATACAAATGTACTCTCGTTTTTCTATAAATTATTTCATTGCTTTCAAATAAAATAATGATTTATTTATATCAAACATATCTCCACATTAGCAAAGCGCCAGAATAATATTGTTCTCATTACAGATCATTCACAGTTCGATATTATGTCAAACAGGAAAAAAAAGAAGCGAGAAAAGAAAATCTCTCGTAAAATAATTCATTACATTCAACTTCGTACTCATCGACAATGGCCCAATCCACTGAATTACACATCCCATTTAGAAGCACATAATTCAATAATAAAACCAATTATATATGAAATCGATCATCATTTGAATAAGAAATGGATTCTAATTCGACAATCACAAGTAATTAATCAGTTCAATCAAATTTATCAAGACGAAATTAAAAACTATTTTTTACATAAAGTAATTTGATGAAAATGATAGTGTTTTGCTTAGTAAATGCTCTTTTGTTTGTAGATAAATTTAATTGATCATAGATATTTTTGTTTAAATAACCAATTTGATGAAAATAATAAATTTTTACGAGAAACATTTCTTCGTTCAATTGAAATAACAGATCATCTTTTATATTTATACCAACAAATAGAAAATAGTGACTATTATATTTATGAATATCGTTTAAATATATTAAAATACGAATTTAAACAAGAACAAGAATCATTAAAACATTTATTTATTGATCAACATTTAAATGAATTTAACAATCAAATAGTTATTTTAAATATTATTGAACAAGAAGATGTTCTCAAGCAGTTTATTGAGTTTCAATACGATAAACAACGATTAAAAGAAAGTTTTGTTAAAGACATAGCTATACTAAATGTCAATTTTAAAACACAAATTGAATTGTTACGTTCCACCATGAATAAAGTGAGTTTAAATAAAATAATGTAATTCTTTCCTTTTTAATTATCTGTAAGAATTTCATTTCCATCTATAAACAAAGATGTTCTTGTATACAAGAAAAATCAAAGCTATATATGATATATTGGAAACTAATACAGGAATCAACGAAAATAACAGATAGAACTGAATCGAAATTAAAACCAAGCATCTCTAAAATATTGCTATTCGACTTAAATTGATAAAATATGATTAATAGAATCCATGAAGTTACTTTCCATAGAGGAGATTTTAATATCTGAAGAAGTGTTAAAATTGACAATACATTTACAACTCGAATATTATTATTTTTATACGATTTATTTTCTGAATAAAAAAAAGATAAATCATCTTGGTTCAGTTTTGTGTGAACTTTCATATTATTCTCATCAGCTAGATAATGACAACCAATAAATATTTTAAACAAAAATGAGTTTTATATTTTTGATATTCTATGAATAATATTACGAGTTGTCTACTCAGACGACATCAAAATTAAAAGTAAGAGATATTTGTGCCTTTGACATTGCTGCATCTCGACTAGAAAATCGCTCTGTACCACTCGAAGATCTTCTAATATGTAGACATTTATTTATTCTATCATTGTGAGCAATTCAAAAAGAATCTTAGCAATAAAAATTTTTAGATCCGAAAATAAATATGATCGAATAGTTTTGAAAAGATAAATTGTTTCTTTATAAAACTATTCAATATACGTATATCAAATGTGAGCTGTTCTATTTCCGTAAATAGATAATCCATTCAAATAAGCAACAAATAGACGCCATTTCCAAACGTTACGATTATTTAAACGAAAAAACACGTAAAGCAAAAGAGCGTATCAATCAAGAAATAGCATCGATGATTACTTTAAGAAAACGAATTAAAGAAACAAAACTTCTAATTGAACAAACAGATACAAATAAGAATCATATTAATGATAAACTTAATCAATTGAAACAATGTTCATATTATCATCAAAGTAAAAAGAAGATTTTTTTCCAAATAACTTCACTAAACCAATCTTTTTGATCATTTTTTCTCTGACTATTTAGATCAATTAATTTGGAGAAGAACTTTTTCAAATATTTCTCAACGAAGCAGAGTTGAAAATTCTTTACGTCATCTGTCTGTTGTTATTGATAACAATAAAAAACGATGCCAAAAAAAACTATTAAAAGCTGAACGTATATTATTATTAATAAATCGATGTCGACAATTGGAATTCGAAGATGAAAATCTTCTTTTAACAATGTCACAAATTGATTTCAATCAAATAAATAATAAAATTATTTCACAAGTTCATTATCTTCATAATTGTCGTTTTGAGTTTGATTCATTTTTCGATGAATTATCTTTATTTTGGAAACGATTTGCTCATGTACAAATGGATATCTATATTCGAATACACGAAAAAAATTCTCTAAAAAACTCACAAAAATCTTTTAAGCAACAATTAAAAATTTTTATTTGAAGTTATATTCGAAAAGTAATAATCTGGCGTTGTTTCAAGTAAACGACGTATTACGTTAATTAATTTCTCATTACGTACACTTAAAACATCTGTATATGGTCTCAATTTACTAAAACGATATTTATAAGGATATAATGATAAGGCTCGATCATATTGATATACAGCACTACTTTCTGTATCATGTAAAATAACAACATCACTTCGATGTGAATATGACATTAAATCAAATTGCCGTCGTGATCCCGGTCGATGATCAATAAAAACCACCGTCCAATTCCTATATTCTTCAAGGTTCGATGTTGCCCACTCGATACCCATTTCACTCTTAATTTCAACGTATTTCAATTCATGGAGAGTATTGTTTACAGCAAACGAAGAAAAATAATTAATCCATCGACGATCAGAATCGGCTGATAAAAGAAAACGTTTTTGTTCCAATGCTAAACGATGTAACAATGGACTACTTGATGTTCCCATGCCTAGCTCAAGTATGGGACCTGATTTAGTTGCACATAATGCAGCAAGAAGTACAATTGAATGTGAACCATAATCATTAGCAAGCGGAAATTTTAAGTATTCATGAACCATTGAATTCCATTTAATTAAAAGTTTATCATCTTCAATAATTTCTAATTGTTGTTTAATTTTTTTCAGTTGATTTTTATTTATTTTGATTGGTATAAATATTAAATAAAAAATTGCGATTAATGAAATGATGCTAACAACGATGCATATAAACAATTTCATATTGTCGTTTTAATTCGTTTGTCCTTTGAAATTCGAACAAAACTTTTAGTTTGTATTTATTTCATGATATTTGCTATTTGCATAAAAGCGAAAGAACGAAAAAAATCCTCTGGCATTAAAAAGAAAAATAATATGCTTTTAAAAAGAAAATTGTTGGACTTTTATTTAATTTTAATCTTTTATAGCCAATCACTTGGTGCTTATTTTTCATTATTCAACTAGTTGTTGCACATTTATTGATAAATGTGATAAATTATATGTATGACAATAGGATCATTTTTATTTCTATCAAATACTTTCTTCGCTCAATTTTAACTTCATATGGGTTAATGCAATTGATGATGAACATGATATATTTCTGATAAAATGAATCTATTAAACTATAGTTTTGCTTCGTAATATTTCCGTTAATATATAGGGAAGCATTGAATAAATGTTTATCATTTCCAGGAAAAAAACCTTCTCTAAACTAAATATCTTCTCTCATATAGACACAATAAGTATCAATATCTAACAATATGAGTTTATCAAAAAACTCGTCACTTCTCATTTTGTTTTAAAAATTGAAAAACAGTTTTTAACATACATTCTTTATCAAGAATTGACTTACGTTGGTAAAGTTTGTAAATAGATTGTTGTCATATTATTTATTTTCTCTTCATTTCTTATACCAATGTAAGAGAGCTATTTTTGTTGTTGAGTTTAGTGATGTAGCTATGATAGCGTAAGACTACAAGTGGAAAATTTGAGCTATTACTAATCAATGACAGGCACATCAACAAAAAATCTATCAAAAGTACCAAACCAAAGAGAACACAGTGATCTACAATACTTATTTTCTATTGAAGAATCTGTTTATTTTACACCTAATCACTTTTAAAGCGTTGGTGATGTCTCTACCAGAGCTCTTCGAATGGAAGCAATAATATAATATTACATTTGAAAATGTGATTGAAAATAGTCGACAATTGTTATTCACATCTACTAGAGACATCTATAACACGTACGGGGTTCATCTTTAAGAAATTAATTTCAAAAAGTATTTCAATATAAAAACAATATTAATTAAACAATTTTTATGCAAAAATGATGAGGATTTCAATGTGGAATTTGACTGAAACTTAAACCAATAGAAATTAAATAGAAAGAAATCGATAAACAACAGACATCATTTTTTTCTATTTGTTTCTTCGAATTTGTGTACAGAAAGCATCGGATACTCTAATTTAACTACAATTTCTTTGATTATTTATTATAGATTTCCATCTTTTACAATGGGACCAAAAAAAGAAACAAAAGAGGCTTCAGCTTCAGCCAAAAAGAAAGATGCTCCAGCTGCTACGACAACAGCTACAGCTAGTGCCAAAAAAACTACTAAAACCGCGGGTAATACAACAACTGCTACTAAAGTAGTTACAAAAGAACGTAAAGAAAAGGTTAAATCAACGGCACTTAAAGCTAAACAACGAGTAGTTCGGTAAATAGAATAAATTTTCTCAGGCAAGTAACTAACTTTTTCTTATTTCTAGTGGAAATCAGTTAACACGTAAACGTAAGATACATACAAAACCAACATTTCGTCGTCCATTTACACTCCGTTTACAACGTCAACCAAAATATCCACGACGATCTGTACCAAAACGAAATCGTCTTGACCATTTTGCCATCATTAAATATCCATTAACAACTGAATCGGCAATGAAAAAAATTGAAGATAATAATACATTAGTATTTATTGTCAATATTCGTGCCAATAAACCATTAATTAAACAAGCCGTCAAGAAAATGTATGATGTTGATGCCGAAAAAGTCAATACACTTATTCGACCGGATGGGGAAAAGAAAGCCTATGTTAGACTTAAAGCTGATCATGATGCACTTGATGTTGCTAATCGAATTGGCATCATTTAAACATTTACCAAAATTATACAAGAAAAGCAAAAGAAGAATTGTACCACGTTTTTTTCTTCTTGTTTGTTTATGCTCGATTTTATAACAACAAAAAATAAAAACAAATATAATTGAGCATTGAAATTTTAAGGTTTTTGATTTTCTCAGATGTCATTTTAAATTATTCAACCTGTAACAGATTCAAGTAGATATTGGATATTGAAATAATATGATCGAGGAGACTAGTTTAACTTAAAATAGGAGAAAACGAAAATCTTAGACAACATCGTTTGATAAATTTTTCATAAAGAATTTCTTTTGATCACTGTTTGAAGATTATTCACTTCTTTATGATCTATTTCTCCTAGTTATGTAAGTGGGATAGCTTTCTTCATTTCCCGATCTTGATAGAGAAAAAATGACAAATAATAGTTGTTCATTGACCGGCACGATATATTTTTCACTGAATACTTACTTGAATAGATCTCAAGACAACATAAATCTATGATACAATATCTTCATTTTTAAATCAAATTAAAGTACCATTTTGGCTTTATCATCGATTCTATCAATTTTCAGTTAATTCATTGAAAGAAAATTGAAAAAAAGGAAACCTTTTAGCATTTACTCTGATGAATTTACAAGTAGTGTAATAAATGATCCAAAAACTAAACGGTAATAAATTTTCTAACAGCAATGACTAACAATGGTGAATTGTCTTCGAATTGAAGCTTTAACAAATTTTAAACTACATCAATGATTGTTGCTACACTACATGAAAATGCATGATAAACAGTGACTTTATAGGTTACATTATCTGAATTGTACGTGAACATGAATCAGTCGCGTCCTAAATAGAAAATCAGTTTTTGAGCGCAACATCAGCGTCTTGCTAAAAGTCAAGATATTTTTTTTATATGGAGTTCATTTTATTAATAAATAATTAAAGTTAAAATATAGCTCAGTATCTGACAAACCAAATACTACTGAAAATTAAATTCATTGATTTGAATGCTATTGTGTTTCGACCCTATTATTATTGCAAATGAAATATGCTATATTCTGAACAATACAAATTCTGAAAGCGAAATGAGATGAAAATGTTAGTATTTTATTTATGAACATTACAATTATTCCTTGTTCAGAGATCTCACCTGTTCAGGAATAGTTGACGTGGACAAATAAATTGAAAAGTCATCGAGATAATCATTATATCATGCTTTATTTGTTGAATTCATCAGACTTTAAAAAAGGTTTTTTCTCTATTCAAAATTCATCAATAAATTTGTATAGATGGTAGTAATAATAAACAAACAAAAAAAGTTGCCAAACATCAATGATAAAAAAAAACCAAAATGAAACCGATCAAAACAACTCTATATATGAATAACAAGAAAGAAACCAACAATAAAGCTCGAATCAAGATATGATAATAAGGATCCATTATTGAGTTCATGATTTCAACTTAAATAACTAGGCATTTTGATTCTAAAATGAAATGAAACAAATAAATAACAACGTAATACATCTGCCGTTGATGGTTCATCTACAAAACATTTCTTACCGAATAAACATTTTTGTTGTAAAATATGCAATAAGAATAAAGATCACTGAGCTAAGAATCATAACTATACGATTAAGACCGGGCATATTTGGTTTATTTGTTTGATCAAGTAAAATAAATCCTAGACCACCTAACGTAAACATAAATGAACCAGCAAGACCTTCCATGATATATTGACCATTAATACGCCATGGCAGAAAAGCAACTGGCTTATGGCGACCATGCTCATCGGTTGTGCTACCTGATTTTTAAATGCAAATGTAATAGAAATCAAATTTATTGTCTCTCTTATTTTTCTACTGACCAACACTAGGTGGTTCAACAATAATATCATAGATAACACCAGCACCAACAAGAAAATAAGATACAAGCAAAACAAGTAAAACTCTAAACATTAGAATTAAATATAACAATGGTTTGTACAGGATCAATCTTACATATTATTTGATGGTGTTCGAATCCATAATGGTTTCTTAAGTTTTACATTTGGGCATTGAATAAAAGTAAAAGGAATTCGATAAATACATTCCATTGTTTATATTTTGTCAGTTAACACAATATATCTGAATAAGAAAAGAAAACTTTTCTTGGCTAACATAAAAGATTCTGTGATTTTGAATGGATTTTCTTCGAATTTTTACCATCAAACCGATTGATGCCGATGACATGGCGTCTCAGCAAACTCAAAGCTACCTGAAGTGATTTAGAAGACCAATTATATGGCGGAAACTGGCTTATACATCACACAGCGACAACTATTGATCAGTTTGATACAAATATTTTCAGACTAGAAAGAAAAACGGAGAAACTTCATTCACTACACGTTAATTTATCGATCAATTGTTCTATTCAAATGAATAAGCATCATTATGAGAAACTATGTGAAACTCACTCGACTGATACATGATATGTACTTTTCTGGTAATTATTTCAGTTTGACTAGTTCGATCATTTTTCCAAATTGGAAAAATAAGAGTCGATTATTCAGTTCTTTCTTTATGTTCAAGGCAATATCTACAAGAATCAGCGGACTTTGTTTGGTGTTGTGAACTGTACAAATATTCAAAGAATTCTACTCGAAAATTATCAAAAATGATCTTTCTTCGATGTCGATACGTGCAACTTATCAAATAAATTGGTTTTACTTTGTAATCTTGCATTTTTTTTTCATCCATTCAGTTCAGGCAAGTATCTTTCATCCTATATACAGCATGAGAATCCATTTGTCTTGTTATTTTTGAGCATGGCCATAAAGAAGTTTTTTTTCAAATACTATTCTCTGCATTCACATATCATCATAGATATTATTAATATATGATTAGAAATCGTATATCAATGAATGTCTCTTAACAGTTTGAGAGTGAGTCAGCAAGATGTTTTCTTTTCACAAACAGTTGTTAAATATAAGGAAAGTATGTGTTTATTTACAAAATCATCAGGTTCAGCGAATATTTAGTTCATTTAATTTACATAAAGCATACTTTACGATATGAAACCGATCAATATCAATTCGTGTAAACTAAAGTCCACTCGTCCCTCTTCGATAGAATAATAGGTCCCTTAACAGGGAAACGCTTACTAGGAAATAAAGTTACTTTGATTACAAAAACAATATATTTTTATTAAAAAATTCCGATTTGAGATATCCAGCTGGCAAAAAAATTCCATCTTGATTCTATTTACTAAGTGAGTAGTATCGTGTTTTCCTGAACATAAACTTCTTGTAACATAAACTAAAAGAACAATGAACGGAGTTCTAAGTCAGTGTTAATCGATCAATAGATTATAGTCAACAGAAAACTACTTCTTTAAAATCTGCTAAAAATAGTGATATTTCAAATTAATATTTAATGAGAAAAATTCGTTTCGAATCCTATTTTTTCTCTACTTTTTAAGGAATAAATCGCCATGTTTTTTGCATAATTTTGTGAAAGTGGATCTACCGATAAACTATTGAATATTTTTTCACTTTTATATCAAATTAATCTTTTCATCTGTATTATTGATGTCTCAAGCATTGATTTATCGAATAGAAATGTTTTCCGTGATCATTTTAATCCTAAAAAAACATCAAGTGTTCAGATAATTGAATTGAAAATAAATTTTTATACTGTGAATACGGGATGTAAACCTTTAGAATTATTTTATTGTTGAATCCTTAACAAAAAAATTGAAGTCTTATAGGATATTGAGCTAGCTTCTCCTACCTATCGATTGATTGTCTTAAATGAAACTTTGATGAAAAATATTAAGCAGTATATTTTCAACATTCAAGTGTTAAAATTTCTCAGAAAAAAATTTCTGATTTACGTTTCATATTTATAAGTATAGATATATATAATCCAAAATCTTTTCTTTTGAATAAACGCGAAAGAAAATTCGGTTTGGAGTATGTTAATGTGCGTCCTCTCTCGTTTATTCATTGATACATGAGTTTATACTGTTGGTCGTGTTTTGTTTGTTTCGGCAAGACAACTAGATCGAAGAGAATGATAGAATAACATGATTAATCAATTCTTTTTTTCAACTAAAGTTTTTTAACTGGCGTCTTCACGTTTGATTAGAACATCGTTAAGTCGATCCACTTGGCAAGCATGGGAATCGATTACTGTTGTTCCATGTCTTACAAAAGATAGACTTTCTATTTATTCACTTCATCGTCAAGCATGTCTTGTAGGTAATTGTAAATTTAACATGATCGATATGTTTCAACATTATTTAGAATCATCGAAGTTTTTATACTGATCCTACTACAAAATTGCAAGTTCTCACACGATATGCACATCTACAACGAGGAAACTGTTGTGGTAATCGATGTCGTCATGTAAGCTTACAAAAATTTTCTTCGTTTTGATTGTCATTTTTGTACAGTGTCCGTATGGTCATATAAATGTTGAAATTAATCTCAATCAACCTCGAAAAATATTCAATACATCCTATTATGAATGACAAGAGCAATTAGAAAATGTACGATCGAATATTTTCACCTTGGGTTTGTCCGTATAACATAAGAAACACCAAAAATGTCTTGAATAAGAAATCTCTATGCATCATAGATCTGTTATGATTAACAGTAGTTTTTCTCTGAGGATTAAAAATCTAATGAAAATTTATATGTTATTGCTTTACTTAAAAAAATGATTCGATAGTTAGAACAAATTTTATTACTAAATAAATTAAAATTATTTCATTATCTGATTTTCAAACGTTTTAATCTTTTAGATGTTGTTTACATCAGAAATTGGAGGCCAACAAATCAGCAACGATGAGCATAAAATATGGTATAAATACAAAGAGTGAACCTTGTAAACATAAAATCTACCTAATAAAGTGATATATTTATTTATTTTTATTGTCAATTGAAAACATATTACTCGACTACGGATGTAAAACTAGTTTTGATTTACTTAATATTGAAAAGAAAGTTGAGTACATGTATCATATTGACGTACTATAACATATAAAAGTATAGAGACGAATAAAAAATGATTTATTTAATTTCTAGTGTTGTAAAATTTTTTATCTATTCTCAATCAATATAATTTATATATATATATATATTTTTTCTATTTTGAAGTTCTATTGTTCATAGAAATTTTATCTTGATCTCAGCTCTATTTTAATTATAGTTTATATTGAAAATACAATGAGCTCTGACTAAACTAATGGTCAACGGATAGTTTAATATTGATATCTCGTAATCATTAATTACTCCTCATGTCATTATATACTTCATATATCAAGTCCGCAAGCTGTGCTTATTCAAAGATATTCTGTTGAGTCTGTAAAATGTATCAAACTATTACTAACATTGTTAATTCTCGATAGAAATCTTGTTTTAAAATAAGAAACAGAATATTATCTTATGGATTTAACAATAACAAGAAGATCAAAGAAAAAAATCACTACGTTTGTGTAATTTTAGTGCAATATAAAAATTTGAATATATAATTTAAGCATGACACATTATATCAGTTTATTCCTTTTCCGTTTGGTTATTTGTCTTGATAAGAAAAAAGTACTAGAAAATTGAGCCAAGGTAATTATTTTGTTATATATTTTATGAGGTATTGTAGCGAGAAACACATTTGTTATAAAAAATAAAAATGTTGTCAGACAACAAAAAAATCAATGTTAAGTTTTCTCATTCAACTGAATAGATTAATTTCATTTGTTTTTTTTTCTGTGTCATATATAAACAAAACTGAACGAAGAACAAATATAAGATAAAATTATGTTACATATAAAATAGAACGAACTTCATTGAATAAAATATATTTTCCATGATTGATATCAATACGATTAAATTCTTCTCGTAAATCATTTTCGTCTGCATCAAAATCACCAATAAGTTCATGTCCTTTTTAAACTCATAAAAACTTATTCTTTTACCTTTATTTGTATTTAATTGTCCAAATAGATTACTTAATTCAGTGTAATAATATAGTAAGCCAATTAGACGTTGAAATTCTTTAAACTCAATAAATCCAGTTTAGAATTAAAACGGAAATTTTATACAAAAAAAATCATAACAAATGCGACTAAAGGAGACGAACTCGACTTGTATCGGCTGCGTTGAAGGCACGAATCATAGCTTGACGATTAGTACCAAACTCGGGATACCAGTGAATAACTGTCCGATCAACTTCAGCCAACGATAATATTCCATTACCATTATCAAATCGTTGAAATAACTATTTGTAATAGAATAAACTGTTCATCATCGCAAAAATCATTCATTTTAAAGTCATTTCACAAAACGATGTTAACCGTAAGATATACCTTTTTACACTCATCTTTACTTAAATGCTGAGCTATTGATATCTTATGATAAGCTGAAGTACGCTATCCTTAACATATTATTATCATATGTCAGCGCAAAAGAAAAAGACGTGAGCGTAGTTTTTTCCGTATTTTTCTTTCTTTTTTTGTACTCTCGTGAGCTAAATGAGTAACTGCTTATTCATTCGAATAGACGAAAGAACAACAAATGGCAGTAAATATTTTTTCTCTAGCATTTATCTGGCTAGGATGAATACTTTTTATCATTAATTCATTCATTTCTTCATGTTGGATGAGAACTAGACAGCATAGAATCTTATAATTATTTTTTAACATAATATTTGCAAAAAACAAAGATGAAGAAAATCTCATTCATAATTTATAGATAAAGTAAAAGAACTGATTCTTGTGATTTGTTTTACTACTAATCATATATAGCTTGCCCATTCGAATTATTCTAGTAAGAAAATTTTGTACTAAATCGAAAAGATGAATTATCACTTGGAAAGATTTCCTTCGATAAACAAGTCTTAAAATTTGTTTCTTATTGAAACAATGAACAATTCTGTTGATTTATATGCACTTAATTTTAATGTAGAATCTAATTAAAATGATGAAAGTACTGTGAACATCTTACGGATAATTATGCAAATATTTAATTCGGCTATCTTGATAAAACACTATTGATATCATAACTAAGATAAAAAGATGAACGGATTCCAACTACCTGCTAGATATGGATTATGATTTACATGTGATATTTGAATCAAAATCTACTTGAACGACCAGTAAAAATATTTATTTTATCTCCAGTTTATAATGCAGTTCTTTCTTAGAAGTTCAGATTGTTTGACATGAATATACTTTTTGTTAATCTGCTTTACACATTCTGTGCTAGTTGAAACGTAATAAATGATGGAGCAAACACTAAAAACAATAGATCATAATTATTGAAAATAATCACAATTTTTAAATATTAAAATCATAACATATTTTATCAAGGATAATTTATCGTCTTATTTCGATAAATGATGGAAAGAGGACAGGACAGGACAAGACAAGACGGGACATTTTTCAAAGATTGGAAATATACAAAAACCATATCGATGTCAAGCGATTTCTTTTTGCAATACAAAAGTCAAACATGGAGACAGGTTAACAAATTCACACAGACTTATGAGCTATTTCCTGCTTACCAGATATCTCAATTACAGAACGGATTTTTGTTTTTGTTTAAACAGGAGTTTTTCATGTTTTAAGTCACTGAGACACGTGCAGAGCTTGTAAAATGATATCTTACTTTGAATTTCTGCCTATCACAAGCGTTTTCGCATTCAGTTTCCAAAATTTTTTCAATCTTGTCGTGTCGGCATAGTTGTCTAGGATGACGTCCATTGCTAATGATACTCTATTACATAGGTCTACGAGAAATTTATTTTATCCCGTTTTACTGTTCTATATTTAAGTTACAAACACTTGAACTTATTTCACTTCCTTTACTCCTTTTAGTCCCTATACTCCCGTTAATCCTTTTAAACCCTTTTTTCGTGTTCCAAAAAGTGGAAAATCACACTGATGATGGAAAGAAAGTATTTTTATTTTTAAATAGTTTTCCTGCTAAAAGTTTTTCTGTGGATCGAAAGTAGACCGTTTACAGTTTAAAAGAAGAAACAAAAACAAATAGTAAAACTTAGAATATTCTTCCGAAAAACTTCATAGCATATTTAAATATTGTTTTAACCACTCAAGATACTGCGCGTAGGAAAGGGAGAAAGGAGGATGTTGGCTTGTAACATATGTATATATATATATATAGAAAATTAAAACTGGAGAAAATAAATTTTTCGTGGACGCCTCCTCTATTATGATTGGAATTGATTGGCGATCTTATAAAATACTAGTTCAATTCTGCCGAAGGAAGTAGATGTTTCGAAATCGTTTTCTCTTCATCTGTTATTGGCACAGATAATACATTTTGTGTGAGCGCTTAAAAAAGTTCAGTAAACAATTGGGAATTCTAGTAGCAAAGTAAGTCAAGTTGTTCTAAAAACTAAATTTAGGGTTTCTTGCAAAAATTAATCATGTTTTGGTAAGTTCTATTAGTATTTCATCGATGAAATAGTCGCACTACGAAAAATATCGACAGAATCGGAGAAAGAGACTGTATAAAAGCAATGCGACAAGAAAAACGCAACTATAAGCGCTAACTTCAACCATGGGTTACGTTTCCTAGTTTTTAGTTGTCATTATTCTTCTCATAAAATATCCTTTAGTAAAATATTAAAAAAATAGAAAAAAATGAATAGTTTCTTCAATGCTAATAAAAGACATTTTTATTGGTTCTGTGACTATCTGAAATAAATTTGATCATTTTAGAATGGATCTACTTGAAAATTTTATGAAATCGATCAGTTCACTATTTACACGTATTACTGTGGAACAACTTCGAGAACGTAAATGAGATCTGTTAGGATACAGGCAAAATTATAAAGTAAATTTTTCTAACAAAATCAACGATTGTCTTTTTCTTTTTTATCAGTTCAATTACAAGATTTCCTCCATGAGAAATATTGAAAATCATATTTCCAGCTTAAAAACGTATGCCTGTGAGGAGTGTTTGAGATATTTTCAGGAAAACAATTGATAAAAATAGCGATGATACGTTTTATTTCTCATTCACAAATTATCTGCTGATTCATTATCAAGCGCCGAACATATTGTTTTCAAGTATCTGCATTGCACTATTTTGGATTATATAAGATAGAATAGAATATTACATTTACCAATTCTAATATCTATCAGAATCAGAGCTCGGACGAAAATACTTGCACTTGTACTTTTCGTACTTTTTCAAGTACAAATAAGTATTTCCAAGTACAAGTAAAATACTTTTATTTGCTGTACTTGTACGCGCCCTATAATCTCAATGAAAGAAAGAATCGTTCGAAAAGAACGTCCATCATGTACCATGTGAAAATGCTATGATGCATGACATACATATCTATTGACTGATGGAATGAAAGCACTTATGCGCTACTGGCTATTCTAAATGTACTATATGAATCTTTTTTTTTTAAACTGGTGGATATATTGATACTAATATATATTTGGAATCAGCGCAATTTCAGAAACAAGTTCTGATCAATTTTAGGCTGATCATTTTCAAAATCTGGATAAAAAGCGCACCATACTGATCAGCTATGGATGAAGTAGATGGTAGCTCTTGATACTTATTAGCACTTAAATATCTACAGATTTGAGTTAATGCATCACAGAGTCCGGTTTCCGCGACCGTTGAAATCATCGGTATGCACCACATCGACTATTTTGGCCTAGTTTCTGGGTTTTGATATCTCTGACCAAGATGGCGCTAGTCATGACATCAACAAAATCGAGAAAGTGAAAAATGCCCAAGAGAAAATATGATATAGCGAGGTTTTAAACTATGCCTGATTTTTACGTGCAATTCGGTTTTTATTTAGACCAACTTAAAAAACTCACTGCACAAGTGCATTAGTGGATCCAATTTTGGAAGTGATGAAATGAACCACATTCACAGCAGTCAGTAGATCACATGTTAGAAACTAATTTATTGCAATATAGTTACTTTTATAAGAATAAAATATGACACTAGGAACAATATCTCCATCATGGCAACATGCATTTTTTAAAGTACTTGGTGTATTTGTTTCAATAGTCGCTTCTCTCGCTTGGTTAACAACTATCGTTACTTTATTTAGTTTATGGGCAGAAGATGATTTTGTTCGATATGAATCTGACGATGGTGAAGTAGTATATATATCTAATGTTGGTGCTCGACACAAATCAGTATTCATCGTTGGTACAGCGATTACAGGGATATTATTTGTTTTGACATTGATTTTTACTAAACTTTGTTTCGATAAAGAAAATAGACGACGATTTAAGAGAAGTATTTCAATGGCGTCAATTATATTTGGTATCCTTTCTGGTATATCGCTTAGTCTTCTAGCAATTTTGGATTCAGTTAATTATAAAATCGCACATTATACATTTACGGGGTTATTCATTGCATTTACTCTTCTTTCGGCGATTTTTTCTATTGTTTATCGATTTTCCCGAAATGAAGTTAATGTAGCGGTAAACATCCGAGTAGTATTTGTTTCTATGGTAACTCCTTTGGTAATTACTTTTGTTGTCATGAGTTTAATCAAACGATCGGATAATCAAACACAATTAAAATCCGTAGCAGCTTCGATTGAATGGTCTATTGCTATATTTTTTGTCTCATATTTAGCTGTATTTGCTCTTGATCTTTTACTCAGTATTAATCATGATTTAAATATTTGAGAAGCTATGCTTTTAAAAATGAATTTAAGTCAAATGAAAGAACTTGATAACAGTAAATTATGAATGTCAGGAATCTGAAATGGTATTTTTTCAAAAATATTTTAAATAGATTGGATACATTCAATTCGAATTTCAATATTTATTTGATAGGAATAATAGTCAATATCTAATTGATATATAGGATTACACAAGAATCTCGTTGATAAATTAACATAGATATGTTTTACATATTGCAAACGATCGATTTGATTCTTGTAACACATACGTATCAGTGTGTTCTTTCAAGTTTCGTTCTACACAATTTCAAA